AAGAACTTGGAATCTCCAAACAAGACAGAGTTGAAAACACCCCAATGGGGAACCTTTTATAAGCTTTCCTAGGGGGTGGGGTCAGGAGCTAGCTTTTCATTGGCCCTAAATTGCTCCATAAACGGCCAATAAAATCAAGAGTCGTTGTTGTTACGTAGCTATTACTGACAAAGCAAGGTCCCTACTTGGACCAATAGAAATGAAATACTTTTGGAGCCCTAATTTGCATAAGGTGGTTATAAAACGATCTGGCCCGCCCATTCTCAACTTTTTTTTTTACTCCTTCTTGAACAGTATTGTGTTTAACAATGCCTGAGCCGGCCAAATCTGCTCCCGCTCCCAAAAAAGGCTCCAAAAAAGCTGTCACCAAGGCCCAGAAAAAGGACGGCAAAAAACGCAAGCGCAGCCGCAAGGAGAGCTACTCCATCTACGTGTACAAGGTGCTGAAGCAGGTCCACCCCGACACCGGCATCTCGTCCAAGGCCATGGGCATCATGAACTCCTTCGTCAACGACATCTTCGAGCGCATCGCCGGCGAAGCGTCCCGCCTGGCGCATTACAACAAGCGCTCGACCATCACGTCCCGGGAGATCCAGACGGCCGTGCGCCTGCTGCTGCCCGGCGAGCTGGCCAAGCACGCCGTGTCCGAGGGCACCAAGGCCGTCACCAAGTACACCAGCTCCAAGTGAGCCCCTCCCGGGACCCGGCCTTCACGCCGTCTCCGGCCTCTGCTCCAAAGGCTCTTTTCAGAGCCACCCACCTAATCACAAGAAAAAGAGCTTTATTTACTTAACTTGCTCTCTCACAGTCTTCTCACAAAGTAAGTTACTTCTTTAAAGATCATAGACGATGGCACACGTAGCTTTTCAAATCTTCGTGACTCGGGGGTCCCGGCGCGTGACTGGCTTCCCTTTTGAACGCGGGGTGCATTTTCACGCTTTGCTGGGCTGAGTTTCCTAGGAGTCGGTTGTAAATCAGGATGTTTGGGAGTTTGCAGCGCCTTTGTTGGGGATATGCTTTATCGGTGTTATAAAACGAAGGGATTGCGGCCGGTCCTCTTAATGACCTCAGAACACAAGCCCGGGCCCCGCGAGTACTGCGCGACAGCCGTGAACGACTGGAGTCCTCCCGAGGGCTGGGAGCGGCCCGCGTGCGCGGTCGCCGGTTCTGCCCCGCGCTGTGGTCGTGTGCGGGCACCAGCCGCTCTGCGCACCGAGGGCGGAGCCCGCGGGGCCGCTTCCCAGCTGTCCCCTGATTGGACCGAATGAATATTCAAAATCCTACCGTCCTGGAGTTGGTAGACTGGGGTTTGCGGCGCTTCCTTCGGGGCCTTGAAATCCAGATCGTTTCCCCGATTTGTGGATCATTTTTGCATTAAATGTTCGCTTCGCTTGGAACGCTGCGTCCCCAGGTCTCTGCAACCCAGATACTGGTCATTTAGGTCTGGGATCAAAAGTCACCTCGCGGAGACCCGGATCAACCATTCAGGATGCCTCTGGTCCCTGCCCCTTTTAGCTTTCTCGTAACAGCCGTCTGAAATTGCTTGGTTTGTTTTCTCGTTTATGGCCTCTTCCCACAACCTGCTTGCAAGCCCTGGAAGACAGTGACTTTGCTGACCTGGTTCTGCACTGTATCTTCAGCGTCAACCAGTGCCTGGCAGATGGTGATTCAAATACTCGTTGAAAAAGTATTTGTTGACTTCATTTTTCCATCCCACCTCTTAATTGCTTCCTTGGACGGGTGGGTGTGGTTTATTTCCATTAGACGTATCTGGAGGCCCGGTGAGGACGAAAATGTTTCTGGAGTTCCTTCCTCAAGACTGTTCCTCAGGGCAACAGCTGGGAGGAGCCTGTGTTAAGATTCTTTTTGCCCCAAAGGAGATGTGGCAACTGTAGATTCTCCCTTTATGCTTCCCAGGTTCGAATAACTCTTTTGCATATTCTTTTAATTCAGAGCATTGGTCACTGGAAAGCAAAATTAGCCTTTCCCCACCTTCTCCTTTTCTGCCTCCCTTCACATCCTGATTCTGTGTTCTCATTTGGTTTTCAAGAGACCGACCCTATGAGGCAGGCAGGACTGCAGGGTTATTATTGTCCTTTTTACAGATGAGCAGTTAAGTGACTGGTCCACAGTCATGCAGCTAACATCGCCCACCTTTGTATCCTTAGATGCGAGCACGATTGCATTTTAGATTTATTTTGTGAAGTTAAAGGTTGTTGACTCTTCCCAAACCTTGATTTTACTGACAAAGACTGATGGTTATTCAACTCTGTTTTTGACTGAGGAGTTCTGGAGTTCATGGCAAAGACATCAGAAATCCAAACTGATTCCAGGCATTATCATGGGCAATAAATCTTTCGTCTCCTACGTGTGTGTTTTTAAACGTGTAGATGTTATTGTTATTAATAAAGTTACCAATTAATTTAAAAGCTTTGCTGGATTATTTTATTTGCAGCGTACTTTCTCAATAAATGAAAATAAACAGGTACACTCAACACTGGGTCTGTGAGGAAACTAGGTCCCTCTGACCTGGACATTGAATAAAATCATCAGCTGAACTCCTCTAGGGCTAAGAGAGTCTCTTCAGAGGCCACTCGTACTGCCTAAAAAAACAAAAAACAAAACCCAGCCGCTGTGGAGTCCCTTCTGAATCACACCACCTCTTGGCAACCACGTGCGTTTCAGAGCAGAATTGTGCTCCATAGGGTTTTCGCACTGAGACTTTCCAGAAGCAGAATCACTGGGCCTTTCTTCCAAGGTGCCTCTGGGTGGGTTCAAACTTTTCGATTAGTAGCTGAGCGCTTAACCATTTGCGCCACCCAAAGACTCCTGCTTAATGCTTAGTTATTGAAAAATACATGACCGCAAAGAAGAAACATTATAGACGAGAAGGGGAAATAAAGTCCGTAAAAACGTGTAGCTTCAGTAGATCCTAACAGCCGCAGGGCACTTACTGTGTACCAAGCAGCGTGCTAAGCCCTTTACATGTGTTGACTCATTTAATCCTCATAGGAACCTTACAAATTTTGTTGTTGTGTGCCGTCAAGTGGATTCCGACTCATGGCGACCCTATAGGACAGAGTAGAACTGCCCCATAGGGTTTCCCAGGGTCGCTAGGAGGCAGAATTGACTCAACAAGCAACAGGTTTGGGGTTTTTTTGGTTAGTCATTACGGTGGCCGATTGCCAAGTCTTTTCTCCCTCAGAACTGCTGGTGGATTCAAACCACTGACCAAGTGCCAAGCACTTAACCATTTTGCCACCGTGGCTCCTGCCTTATGAAGTAGGTACTATTATTATTGCTCATTTTACAGATAAGGAAACTGAGGCACAGAGAGGCCTCTCATCAGAAACTCCAGAGAATATGCCCCTACTTTAGTGCTTAAGGGACTTGAGAAAGTAAGGTCACTCTCTGAAAACCTAGACCCCCTCCCTGGATTTTTTGGGGGGGAATTTTCTAAACACCACCTACTTTATTCTCTTTGGAATGCGCTCAGGATTTTAACAGAGAGGAGGCTGGATGATGACTTAAGGGTTTGTTTACTGGTTTGCAGGCCTGGAGGGTGGGATTGGGGGCTCTGGTTCTGCATTCCAGAGGCCAGAGCTCAATTCAAGTTAGCTTGACCCGGCAGTGGCGAGGCTCTCCAGCTGGGATCCCTACACTAATGGGAGAGAGCTTTAGCTTCTGGTTGTGGGCGTCTCCTGGGCGTGGTGTTCCCGAAGAAGGAAGTTACAGTGAGGAAGGGGAGGTTGGTGTTTTCATTGGGCGAGGAGGTAATCAGTCAGAGATGGTGACATTCATCCTCCTAAAGAACCTCTTTGATTATTTCTTTCCGCTGCTCCAACAATTTTCCTGGCTCCCCACTTGCTTATATGGGGGTTAATAATAATGACAATTGTTATAATAATTGCTACTGCTTACTGAGCACTTAACTATTGTCAAAGAAAAAATGGCACCGAATAATGTTAAAACAGTTGCAAAAGGGGGGGAAGGACAATTGGAAGTGGGAGAGGGACACTGCAATAGGGGGAGACTATCGCAATGGGGAGTCAAAGACCCACCTCTCAGTTCTACTCTGACGAAGCAGAAGACTACAAGATTTAGGATCTTTAGGAGACCCTGGGGAAGGGAGAGGGAAATAAGGGATTCTCTGGTTAGGCACCAGGAGCTTTGTAAAGCCTTAGGTGAGCGGGGCCGAGAGATACTTAAACAGAGGAGATTAGTCAAGCTCTTTTGGTCAGTTCTTTGCAGTAGGTAAACCATTTTCTGGAACACACAAGGATTTGGGGATTTATTTTATCATTGCTGCTCTCCAGTATTGTGTTGTTAGTGGCCGTTGAGTTGGCCCCCGACTCCTGGAGACCCACGCACAACTGGTCCATTGAGCGGTGACTGCATTCGAGGTGCACTGGCAGGTGTAAACATGGTGTGGCAGAGGGGTCTGACCTCCTGGAACTTCACGAGGGGGAAGGAGAATCAAGATCAACAGCCCAAGGCTGATTCTCATGAGGCGAAGGTCAGACATGCCTCTATCCACCAATCTTGTTACCAATTCTGACACTAGCTGTCCCCCCCACAGGACTCTTTACTGCTGTGTTGGGTTCAATAATTTGTTGTAGTGGCCACACAGAACTCATAGACCATACTCAGTTATGGGGTTTATTAGGGAAGTAACAGGTTACAATTCAGGATCAGAAACAACTCAGGATACAGTTCTTAGGTCAGGACAGCTTCTTAGCTGTGCCCACAGTCATGCCTCTCTCTGGCCCTCGGCCTCTCAGCCCTGTGCCTTCTGCCCTGCTCTGGCAAGTGTTACAAAGCTCTTAACTCTGTCAGGAAGTGCCCACCCAGAGACACTCCACTCCACCAGCAAGCCTCCTGCCCGAAGGCACCCAGCTCTCTCGCTCCGTGGGTCAGCAAGCCTAGCTCTGTGGGCCAGGAAGCCCACTGCACTGTCTCCTGCCATCTGCTGCCAGCCTCCTGGTTCTGCTGCCTCTGCTGCCTCTGCTGCCACCATTTCTCTGTTGCCAGTTGCTCACCAGTCCCTCACCATCGCTGGTATTCCCGCTCTCTGTCTCCTTCGTCTAGGAAGTTCTCAATGCAGGGATCCTGGGTCCAAAGGTCACACTCTACTCCTGGCTCTTCTTTCTATGTTGTTGTGAGGTCCCCTTTTCTGCTTCTGGGATGGCTCATTTTAAGCCTAGCGGATGGCAAAACTGACCAATTCCCTCGTTAGGGTTCCATACACCTTATTTGCATGGTCCTATGCCCACAAGGGTGCCAGGCACCTTATTTACATTATTACCATCCAATCCCTTTGGTGGGCCACAAGCACCTCATTTGCATAACACCATCCTGCCATTTGGTGGGAGTTACAAAGACTATGACTAGAAGGGCCATATTAAGTAATTCACTGCACCACAGCTGGGGATTGAATTGGGTCTCCCAGGTGGAAGGCTAGAATTCTACCACTGAACCACCGCCCCCCCCCCACACCACCCATCATACAGCTCAAAGGCCACCTTTTAGCTCATTTCTCTGCCACCTTCTCTTTTTTTTAAAAAAGGAACTTTACTGAGATGTAATTGGTGTATAATAAACCACATATTTAAGGTAAAATTTGCTGAGTTTTGATGTATGTATACACCTATGAAACCATAAAATAATGAACATATTGATTTACGAGTTAAAATTGGAGCCATTATTCCCTGTCCTTGAGTATACAGAATGGGACCTAGCTGGAGCTGGACTCACAAGGACTCACAAAGACACATCAGCTGGGCCCTGAAGTATAAAAACAATAGCTAGGACAATCTTGGAAAACATCTTTCA